TCTTTTCCCACGGAGCCCAGCGTCGCCCCTCTCCCCAGCGAGGCCAGCCTAGGACACGTGTGCAGGTTTAGGGCTGGAAGGGAGGGTCAGCTTTACCCTGACATAATCACTCTTTTATGGCTTTCACTCATTCCCGAGGTGTTAATGCAGATCAAATGGGAAACACTCGGGAAAGAACCCTTGCAGCTACTGCCCGGCCTCGCTGTCCCGTCTCAATCGTTAATTCCGATTGTAAGATCTAAAGGTAATTTTGTTTGCTCTCTTAATGCGTTGCAGTTCTCCCAGTGGCCCCTGCATATCCTTTCTCAAATTCCCATCTTGATCAATTGTTTGCAAATAATTAAGCTTTTAAGAGATAATGGCATGAGGCTAATGTACACAACAAAGGCGAGGTCTCCTGTCACTACCTATTGGACTGTGGTCAAATTTGCTTTGATATCCCAAAGTGATTAGGTTGAATGGTGTATCTGGCAAGTGCAACCCCTCTTCCCTTCCTGAGCACCTACCGAGCTTTCTTAAACTAGTGTCCTTGCCGTTAACAGCAAAGGTGTTCTGGAGAACGGCCCGCGGTGACCTAGGCTCTCCGTTGCAATGGTTTGGAATGAATTTCCCATTTTTCTTCCTAAAAAATGGCATTTCTCTTCATCTCTTTTGTAAAATGATGTCTACCTTTGCCCCTCTTACAGCCTCACGCGCCCTGTGGGCATAACGCAACAGGATTTTGAATGTTGTTACAGCAGCCTTGCTCGTGGCATGTTGGGTTTTTGTCAAGTCATTTTTTCTCTCAGTACAAAGGAATTACTCATACTGTCCACAAAAAGCTTATTTAGGGAAAGATGCATAGGATTTGAGATACTTAAAGATACGGGATTTCAGTTAAAAGCTTGCTTCTTTGTGAATTTTTGGCTGACTGTGGATTAGCTACCTGAAGTCATGGCTTTCATGTGATTCTAGCAATTATGGATTTTTTTTTTCAGGGAATTAAAAGTTTGTGGGACACCCAGGCCAAGAACTATGAGAAAAAGAAAGAATTCAATCTCTCTACCATAGATGAGGGTTTAGGGAATTTTGTTGACACCTTCTTCCCCACCCCACCCCCCTTACCAACGACCAGATTATTGTGACATTTAATTTCATCCCAGGCTCATTCATTTCTATTAAAAAAAATATATCCTGAATGACTAAGAATTGTTTAATGGAGACAGAGTGCTGGGTCTCCATAGCTTGAGGCTGCCTAGCAATTATGCTGCATGAAATTAGACACAGTTTGTTCCAATTACTTAAAATCAGATCACATGAAAAGTGACAGAGGAGGAAAAAAAAGGCTAGAACTTTCTCATTTTATGATATTTAAATTATGAAATCAGAAACTGCATGATGTGAAGAAACAACCTAAACTTGCGCTGAAATTTTGAGGGCCATCGATTGCTCTTTGAAGCTGTAATGATTCAGGTAATTTTAATGACCCAGAGAGAATTTCCCTGACACCACCTGCATAAATAAAACGTGAGTTCCATTTGCTTTGTAAGAAAGGTTGTAAAACTTACTCACAAACAGGCATGCAGAAATACTCTTGAAAACACAGCACAAATAAACGACTGTGACAATTCTCAATTTTCAAAGCAACTAAAGGTAAATGGCATAAATATTAATTTTTATCCAGTTGTGGTCATAAGATTAAGACACAACTAACAAGACAGGGCAAAAGGTATTGCCATCCCGCCACGGTGAAGAGAGACTGTTGATGTATTTATTAATTCTGTTGAAAATCACGGAACTTTCCACAGGACCTGAGACACCGTAAGCAAATTACAGAAGATGTTAGAGACTGGAAACGACTTGCATCCGTGTCTACGACTCTATATGGCAAGGAGGGCCAACAGCTGGGTGCTGAGGTTGGCATATCTCAAAATCAGGCTCTTAATGGGTAACCTTTAGCTTTGATGGATCTTAAGCTCCAGATGACCATGTTGAGAATTAGAAAAGTTGTCCCGTGTTTGAAATCTCAGAGCGAGTGAAGGGCAGCACCACGTATATCATCCGATAGGGTCATGTAGACCATCTATAGCGTTCTCTGACTAGTAGAACCTCTACATATCAAGCCTTACCTGTTCGTAGGCCGAGAGCTGCATGTGGTTCGCCTTGTGCGGCAAACCTTTGTGCAGCAGGAGCTTGTGTTTTAAACCCCAGGGCAGAGAATTGCTCTCAGCTCACCATCCAGTCATGAGATGTTGCCTGTGATGAGTGGCTTTATGTCGAGCAGGGTGATTGTCACCTGTGGTCTTAGCCTATTATGAAGCTTATCTAGCGTCATTTGAGGAGCGGGTTGACATCACCATAAGGAATGGAGTCGGGAAAGTAGCACCATGGATCTCAAATTGGATTGTGCGCACCTCCTGTGGGCTACCAATGTTGCATCCGAGTGGGGGGCGTCTGCGTGTCTGGCAGGATGTCCTGCAGCCTCCTTCTCAGCTTCACGAATATTCCCTGCTTTCCCGCCACGTGCCGGGCCGGGCCCTGAGCGTAATGCATGAGAAAGTCACAGACTTGGGAGCCGCTCCGTGGGTGAGAAGAGCCCCAAGGGGCCCAACTCAGAAGAGCAGGTGCTTTCAGAGAGCGATGCTCAGGCCTTGGGGAAAACGGCAAAGCCCCACATGAGAGCCGTCAGGTGGGCGGGTGGGCGCTGCCTGGGTGAGGCTCGGCCTTCTGTGCGGGGATGAGAACGGGACGCTGGAGTGGGGACCAGGGTGGTTGTGGGGAGAACAGGACGCAGCAGCATGGGGCGGGGGTGCACGGGAAGCATGGGGCTGGGGTGCAAGGGAGGCCGCGGAGCCCCAGGCGTGCCAGGTTGATGTGTGGGAGAACAGGATGCAGCAGCGTGGGGCGGGAGTACACGGGAGGCTTGGGGCTGGGGTGCACAGGAGGCCACGGAGTCCCGAGGGGGACAGGGTGGTGTGTGGGGAGAACAGGACGCAGCAGCGTGGGGCTGGGGTGCACAGGAGGCCGCGGAGCCCCAGGGGTGCCGAGCTGGTGTGTGGGGAGAACAGGACGCAACAGCGTGGGGCCGGGGTGCACAGGAGGTGTGGGGCCAGGGTGCACAGGAGGCTTTGGAGCCCAGAGTGGGGACCAGAGTGGTGTGTGGGGAGAACAGGACACAGCAGCGTGGGGCGGGGGTGCACAGGAGGCCACGGAGCCCCGGGGGCGGGGGTGCGGCCTGGCTGGACAGTGGGCCGGATGGGCTGAGCAGGCAGGAGAAGGAAGGTCAGGAAAGGCGCTGGCCACGTCTGTGGGTCGGGGTGAGGCTTCGACCCCAAAGGGAAGGGGAAACACCACCGAGACGTGGGCTGCCCCCCATGTCTTTCCCTGGCCAGTTTCCTCACCTGTGAGACGGGAGGGACAATAGATTCCATTTATGTCCCTCGAAGGGATATAATGGGGATTAATTACCATCCTGTCTGTAATATACTTGGAGCTCTTTAGAGAAAGGCACTATATTCCATGAAAGCAAAGCCTTATTCTAATTGTGTATTTATTGATTAAGTGACAATCAAAGTCAATACTTATGGGAAGAATTGCTACCTCTCTGCTCTCCACAAACGAATCCCACGTGTACGGATACAGAACATATTTAAACTTACATATAAGAGCGTTAAAGTGGTCATTAACGAGACTTCTTAGCATCTAATCAGACATTATTAATGAGATTAAAAGCCATGTTAATTAACATTCAATAGACCAGAATTTAGTTTCCAGCGGCACAGATAGTTCAGTTGAGAGTTGAGGGTGCCCTCTCGCATTCACACGGGAATAGAGCGTTGACTATCGGAACGATTTTTGTCTTGGGAGAATTTATTGGGATGCGGTGTTTGAAGCAAGTCAACGTGTCCATCGACGGGTACCATGTCCCAGGCTCCAGAAATGTGTGTTTCAGATTAAGATATAGTTCATTACGGAACAAAAAGTTTTTGTGCCAAAACCAATTTCAGTAGAATTCCAAACATTCTTTCAAGAGGGTATGAATTTCATTCTATTATCTAATCCTGTAATACTTTTTTATCCACTCTAACTCATGAGGAACATGGCCGGGCTTGTTCCTAGCATGCAAAATATGCTGGTCTTTGACCTCGTACTGGCCTGTGTTCAGAATCCCAGCATGTGTTGACATTCAGATATGGAAACCAACTTTGGTTGAATGTCATTTGTTTGCGTTTCAGAAGAGCTACAATGATCAGTGGTTAAAAAAAAAACCCACTTTAATTTTGATGTTTGCATCTGGCAATATGGTGTTTTGGAAGGGAAATGTCATGCTCAGGAAAGTGCTTCACTACCGGGGACCTCAGCTAAGGTGGTTGGTCCACATGGTTCAGCTTTAGGAGTCCGTGGCTCGACGAAAATAGTACACCAAGGTGATAATACTTCCATGTCATGGAAAAGGGCTTGTCCTTATTTTAATTCTATACAATACAGTGAAGATCATACTAAATTTCCTGTGTTTGCAACAAATAAACCTTTAAAGGATAAACTCAGTATCAAGGTTCTGCAAGTATCCTAAGTAGCTATTTATACACTTCACTAATCTTTGTAATTGGCTTGTCTTTTACTGCCATTAATTAGATGATGTAGTATTCCATTAATAAGAGGGACACACCTCAGCATTTTTACCTTTAATTATAGACTTCACTAGACACTTAGGCTATTGACAAAATAGCCTATATATTGCCTGAAATATATATATATATTCATATATAAATATTTTTATTTATATATAAAATAAATATATTTTTATTTATATGTAAAAAAATATATATAAAAGTATTTTATAATGGGGAAGTATAAATACTTTTATATATATATATATATATAAATATATATTTTTTACAGAGCATATGTGTTTATTATTGAATCCCTAGCCCCTGGCATTGCACCTGACATGTGATGTGCACTATACTATCTGCCCAAAGTATATGCGCACAGACTTACCTTTTTTGGTTCTCTTTCAGCATCCTTACCCTTCTGAAGAACAGAAAAAGCAGTTGGCACAAGACACGGGACTCACCATCCTTCAAGTGAACAATTGGTAAGTAATTTGGCTTTGCGTTTACACACAATCTGCTTCCCCCTCTGGCAACCTGCAGCTAATGTTTTGCATTGAGAAGACACACCCAGTTGTTGCTGTTTTCCCTGGTGGCTTGCAGATCCAGAGGTGAAAATAAACGGTTGACTGATAGGTGAGAGCACTTGCCGGCCTGGGAGAAACCCCAGACACACACACACACACACACACACACACACACACACACACCAACACTGCATTGCTTTCCTTCCGAATCTTAGGCATAGTGTAAATAAGTCTTTAATTCACGTTCACCGTGGCTCCATAAATGGCTTTTTACCCCTCCTCCCCCACCTTTAGGATAATCGATAGAAAGAATGGTATCATCCTATTTTCTGTGGAACAAGAAAATCCACCATCACATATCAGTCAGGTCTTAAATTCAGTGAATAACTAACTGCGGTTATTTTGTTGGGGCTGAGCACTCAAGGATAGTCTCCCGTTGCCTCCTATCTTCCGTTCCATGGAAAAAGAGATATTATTTATGTCTCCACTTTGAAGCTATTCAAAACCCGATGTATCTCCGGGCTGTGCAAAACTGTTTCTAAATAAATGTGTAAATTCCTGATTTGGGGGAAGCTGAGATTCCGTACCAAGTACCAGCCAACAATCTTCTGACAACGTGCGGTGGTATGGCAATGAGGCTTTGGGGCAGTATGATTTATTACCCTTTGTGAGTGTGCTGAAAGCCAGGTTCATATAATCACCCGGAGCTAGTGTCATATTTGAAGGGTATCGAAATCCAATATCCTCTCAAACTAAGTGTATCTAATTAATTGTCCTAATATTTTTAGATTAGTGTTTATGATGGGGAAACCCTATCCTCTTTGAAGTAAAACCCAGAAAGGGCCCACAGCCTGGTTGGGGAAAGGGGAGAGCGGGGAATGCCAGTTGGCAGACAGAAGTATTTCTTTCCGTTCAATAAGTGTCAAAGATTAATATTACCGAATCTCTGATTACATGGCCTAATCCATTTTGGTGAATAAATTTGTTCTCGATGTCCATTGCACCTACATTAACAGACCCTTCTCTGTTAGAGAGCCTGGGAGCCTTTGGGAGAGATTCCAGATATATTAAACCCCATTACAGAAAATGTAATTTCTGTCAATATAATCCCATGTATTCTTCAATTTAGTATTTTAGAGATAACAAGCTACTTACAATATATTTGCCTTTGGAGGATTAATTCACAAAGTGCACTATCTGCAAGACACAGACAGACTCACATAAGCATAGCTTGTAAGGGTTATCAATTTCGACGACCTGACCGCAGCCTCGGGAGATCAATTTTTGCAGGCCTTTTTAGTCGAGTGGCTGGGGAGCCAAGGGGAGCCATACCGTCCCTCCGTGTGCCGCTGGGAGCGTGTCACTGCCGAGGATTTGTGTCGGCCTGTGTACCCGCTATTGTATCTTAATTCTCGAGACTGTTGATACTGTATATTTGCACTTAGGCTTCAGGTCCTCCTGGACGAAGTTTATAGAGTAGACCATCAATTTTGCGTGCACGTCTGAATTCAGGTGTCTTTTCAAGGTTAAACTGATGGTGTGATTTTATTTTTATTTTACTTATTTATTTTTTTAAAATGTGGGGGGGTTTTGGTGCGATTTTAATACAACGGAGGCGGTGCTAATGTTATTTACCTGGGAAATGTTCCCATCGGAGGGCCACGGAGCGGCAGGGCCAGCCCTGCTTAAGGAAGGCCCGAGCGCTGCCGCCAGGTGATCTGTCTCGCACTTGCCATCGCCCTTCCCCTCGCCCTTCAGGGTGGCTAGCAAACTCCCAACTACACGTTGTTGCCAGAGCACAGATCCCCGTGCAACTTGCCTTCCCGAGGCGGACAAACTTGAGGGATCTTGCCTGCGGATGCCTGGGCAGGCAGGCACTCCTGGGACACCAAACAGTATGCAGTTGTCACTCTCCTGGCTTCTGTGCGGTGGTCAGAAAGCAACTTCCTCTGTTTTGCAAGTAGAAGAGGAAAAAGGGACCTTACAAGAGTCCTAACACGTTCCAAAGTTTTATATGCAGGCGTACCACAAACTTCCCGCTGACACTCAGTCCTGCGCAGGTGCGTGAACACAAACCACGTTTACGTGATTCTCTGCTCACCTGGCGCTGTGTCCTGTCCCAGTGTCCTCGCTACTTCTGCACGCAGTAGGAAGTGGCTTTGGCTGGCAATTCATCGTTTCGTATTCGGCCACTGTTTCAGCTCTAACAGCTACGTGGTAGAGAATTTCCCCATAACTAAATAAAAGTTGTCAGAGAGATTGTTTCTCCCACATTTGGTGAATGATGACGTTCCTGTGTCTGATTTAAGTTTCTAATGGTTTATTAATTTTCACCCAAACCGTCAACTTTTAAAGAGCTGATAATAAGGGCACCCGGGTGGCTCAGCGGTTGAGTGTCTGCCTTTGGCCCAGGGCGTGACCCCGGGGGTCCCGGGATCAAGTCCCGTGTCGGGCTCCCCGCAAGGAGCCTGCTTCCCCCTTTGCCTATGTCTCTGCCTCTCTCCCTCTCTCTCTGTGTCTCTCATAAATAAGTAAATAAAATCTTAAAAAAAAAAAGAGCTGATATTAGATTTTTTTTTTTTTTTGGCTTTGGGTAGGAAATAGGTTGCAAACATGGGGAAACCCAGATGGTACTGTATGAAAACCGGAGGTGTCAGAGCATCTTAAATTGTGGCATGCTTGAAGACTAATGGCAGCATAACCACTAAAGGCTTTTCATTTCACTTTACCAGGATAAAAAAATTACACAAAGCTTTGTTGGGAGCTTGTAAAACATTCTTCCCGTATTGAGCGTCAAGCCCAAGTTGCTTCCTTCTGGACAGCATAATTAAAAGAAAGTCCTCATTACTATTTTGACATGTCCCCTTCACTCCATTTAGCCACAGCATTTAAAAATGTGTGTCTTCCTTCTTGGATTTCTCAAAACTTGTTAACACACATGTACATTTTGTAGGAACTATGAGTCACTGTTGAAGAGATTTAATGAAATGCTGAAGGGCAGGTTGGGTGTAGATCAGTCATAATTATTGGCAGCGACATAACGTATCGACGTACGCAAAGTGAAAGTGAAAAACATAGACTCGTGTCTAGCTGTTTGCTTGTCACAGAAAACCCAGGCCGCTGCAGCTCCAAGTGAGGTTTTGGCTGAAAACTAGAGGAGCAAAGTTTGGTGTGTTTATGGGCTGGTTCATTCCACCCCCGAGTGGATCCTCCACTTCCCTAATTGCCCTGAGGGGTACGAACTACAGGCTGTGGCCAGCGAAGGCCAAGGCAGATGGGATGCAGGGGGAGAAGAGACAATGGGGAGAATTTAAGTGGAACATAACAAGACAGGCTTGATTAATTAAAAGAAAATCTGCATTAAAAGAAATAGCTCTTGTAGCTCAAATGTTCGATCTGCTCGTCAGAATGAAACACGGAGAGGAGGAACCCTCATATGGTGGCTAACGGTGCGTGTAGGGCCCGGGCCCAGGGATGGAAGGTGAACTGTATTAGATGAGACGTCGGAGGGTGAGTCTATGCCCGACGCCTTTTTGAGAATCGAGGCAATTGTGCAAATAATTTGGGTGAAAACATTTTTACCTTAATTGTTTAAGTATCTGAGGCCACTGCCTGTTTTGGAAAAAATCGACTTCCATAACTCACTGCCTTAATAAACATTTCGATCTAGCATGCCGCGGTCGACTTAGACGTAAGAGCGCAGTAATGTCTGAACTACAGTACGTGCCCTGCATTCGTGTGTTCTTCTTCCTTTGCTTTCTCACCCCCAATTATGATCCGATATCCCAAAATGAGAAATAATGGCCTTTGGGACTTTTGCCTTTTGGTCTTTCCATTGTCGTGGCCGTGAAAATTATTTCCGTCATGTCAGCTGTGCAAACATATTACTGATAGGTTGAACGTTTCAGGCATTTGGGCAGAAACGTCTTAAATTCTGAGACGGTTATTTTAGATCTTTAACGATGTAGGTAGGACTTTACAGAAAACACATAAACCCAAAGCCAGTATTCGGTTCTTTTTTTCTCCCGAATGCACCGACTTTATTTTTAGGCTTGGAGACGTGAGCGTGGAATGGCCCGCCTTCTATGTTTTCACAGCCACGTTACAGACCTCGGCCTTCCACATGATGCAGACTTGGGCCTGCGCTTGTGTCTTCCTTGCCGGGTGCCTCAGACACATTCTTCCTCTGCAGAGTTCTAGCCTAGGGTGTACTGAATGAATTTTTACAGTTTCCTTGTTTACTACTACTCATCCAGACAGTTTCCCATTAAGGCCTAATGTTAAATGATTATTTCTTTATGCTCTGAGAAGGCGATACGGATCTTAGGTGCAAAACCCATAGTGTATGTGAAATTCAGTATGTATGCAGAAAGAAAAAAAAAGAATCACTCTCTATCAGTTGGGTGCATGAAATTCCAGGGAGCATCCTGACATCCGAGGTGACACTTCACAGAACTATCCCAGCTCTACCGTCCTCGGATTTAGTACATATACCAGATTTTCCTAGTTACTTCATTTACTACCTTCAAAACTGCGAAGCATTCAGGCATCACTTCCCATTTATTACCAGTGGGGGCAGCGGGGGCGGAGGGGGGGGGCGGGGAGTATGTTATCCTTAGAGATTTATGCCGGTGGCAGGTAAAAAAATGTAAACTTATTTAGAAAAAAATAGGATCTCCCTTATAATAAACAGATTCAGACTGTTAAAGGTCAGGTTTCTTTCTGAGTTATGGTAATAATGTAGCACATACTTTTATAAGTAATCAAAGATTCTCTAAATACAGGTACCTGTGTCGATGTAAATGTTAAAACATTCACAAATTATCCTTTCAACTTCTGTGATCTAAAAATCAATAGGGGGTCACCGGGTTTCATAGAATTGCTCTGCTTTTTCTTCCAACATAATTTAATAATACATTTTACAGATGTTGTTTAAACATTAGGCACAGATTGTTTTG